CTTCCCAAACAAAGAGCACAAACAAAAGCCTTCCCCCCCCCAAGATCTGAAAGTATCTTGTCCCCTTATTGGTCCTTTGGGTCAGATGCCAGCCAGGTTACCTGAGCTTCTTAACCCTTTACAGGTAAAAGGATTTTGGAGTCTCTGGCCAGGAGGGATTTTATAATACTGTACACAGGAGAGCTGTTACCCTTCCCTTTCTAGTTACGACAGGGGCACAACCGAAAAAGTTTGGGGACCCCTGCTAGAGTAACCATACCTACCGTTTTGGCCCTGGATGTCCCAACTTTTTTGGCAAAACTGGATTTGTCCCATTTGCTCTTGTCAACTGATCACCAGGTGGCAAGAGCAATACAGCACAAATGATGCACTTTTGCCAAAATGGGGCTTGGGGTGGGGGTGCGGGGGAGCAGTGGGGCTCGGGGGTGGCAAGAGGCAGGGCTCAGGCCAGCCCTGCATAGGGCAGGAGGGGGTTTGGGCAAGTGCCTCAGGCTGGCTCCACGCAGGGGGCGAGGGAGGGGAAATATACTCATTCACTCTCTACACAGGTTCCCGCCATCTTCCAGCCTGGCTGGGGGCGGGGCCTCAGGGGGAAGAGGAGGTGCAGGGCAGAGGAGCAGGGCTGGGGAGAGAGAGAAAGGAGCAGCAGGGGGCGGGGCCAGAGTGCCAGTGCACCTGTGGGACCTATATGGTAATCCGCCACTGCCCATCATCATAATATCCTACTAATCTTTAAAGTCTTTATCCTCACAACACCCTTGTGAGGCAGAGCAGGGCCATTAACCCATTGCTCAGATGGGGAACTGAGACACAGAAGGCCAGATTTTTAAAGGTATTTAGGCATCTATTTTCTAAATCATCTGGGTGTCTACAACTCATTGATTTCATATGTTTAATGTGTAATGAAACAGGTGCTTGGACACAGCCCCGGCACAAATTTAGCTCTGGGTGGGTGGCAGGAGAGCGCCGGCTCCTGGCCAGGCATGCTGCCATCAGCAGCAGTGTGGAAGTCAGGATGGCATGGCATGGTGGATTGCCAACCTTACTTTTGCGCTGCTGCTGGTGACAGCGCTGCCTTCGCTGGGCGGCCAGAGAGTGTCACCGGCTGGCCAGGCACTCAGTTCTGAAGGCAGAAGCAAGAATGGAATAAAAAAGCCCAAATAAGTGATCTTCAGATAAAACAAGACCAGAAAACCACAACCCATAACTTTCCAAAAAATTAAAGTGGGAAATAAGCCCCCTTCTGCTTATAAAACGGACTTGCACACTACTGTGCCTTTTTTTTCCGTTGCTTTCTTATGCCAAAGAACTTCCTTTGTATTTGTTAAACCAGGAAATGAATCAGAAAGTTTGGGAGCCCAGGACCCCGGTCTACCTAACATTGTCATTTGTCCAGCTCTCCAGGAAGTTCAGACTGTTTTGCTGAACAAATCATGCCAGCAGAAAATCACGAGATTGACTTACAATCATGAGACTTTAAAAAACAAATAACTGTGGGATTGTGTTTATTTGCCTTCTGTGGTGGCGTCTTTAGGATGCAGGTTTTCAAGCTTTTCTTTGCAACCCTGAAGGGTAAAAACTTGCTTTCTTCTTTAATGAAAGCTGAGAAATTTGTCCAGCAGAATCACAGAACTCTGGGAGCTTTAAGAAAAATGCCAAATATTGCAAGAGTCACAATTTAGTTTATCCAAGAGAAGACTAAGAGGTCATTTGATCATAGTCGACATAGCTCTGTTAAGATCCAGCAGACAAAAGCAGAAAGCGAGCCAATAGCTGGGAGCGGATGCGAGACAAATTCAGACTAGTAAGGTTCAGGATGTTAATAGGAGGGGAAGGAACCATTGAAACATTTGCTGTGAACAGGGAGATTCTCTGAATAAACCTGGAGTCTGTCAACAAGACTGAATGTCTTTTTAAAACACGCTATAGGTCAAATAGAAACTATTGGACTGGATGCAGAAATTAGTGGATGAGAATCTCTGGCCTGGGTTACGCAGGAAGCTGTGTTGGACGGGCACAAGGCCAGAAAAGAGGCATCAGAACTAAGTGACGCCTGTAAACTGGATTTGAATCTGTTTTGTATGTTATACTTCGGAAGGAGAATTGCAAATTGGTTGATTTATTCAGGGCTCTTTCTTAGTCGCTCATCCATATCAGAGGAACAGAAAAGGTGTTAAAATTTATCCACTCTTCAAATGGAAGAAACTTGCTTCATTCATCTTTCACTTTGGAGAAGTTGCCAGCTATCGCAATTTGATCATAAGTCTCACAATAGCTGGTGTTTTTATTAAAGCCCCAGGTGTTGGAGTCATGGAGGTAAAGCACTGGACTGGGTTCTATCCCAAACTCTGCCATTGGCCTGCTGGGTGACCGTGGGCAAGTCACTTCCCTGCCCCGTGCCTCAGTTTCCCTATCTGTAAAATGGGGATAATTATACTTCCTTCCTTTGTAAAGTGCTTTGAGATCTACCGATGAAATGTGCTCTACAAGAGCTACATATTATTATTAGCTTTTTCTTTTTTTATAAATACATTTCTAGCCCTCATGGCTATGGTGAAAAGTTTGAGGACATCTTTGAAAGCTTTAAAACCCAACAGGTAATTAGAAAGAACCCCAAATTCATTATTATGTTTAAAACACCTCATGATTAATCTCCGGTTTTTGAACACTAGGGAGTTGGTAGTACAGTGAATTTCCAAAGTGAAGTGAATTTCTAATCCATCAAGCTGAGCCTGGTTCTGATTTTGATTGATCAGAAAAATGTGCCCTGCGTTAAAGAGCGTAACAAAACCCCC